TGGGTGTGTTAATCTAAATAATTACCCCTTTTTCAGCCTGTATCTCCGAAACTATTTGAGTCCCCCCCTTATATATATATATATATATATGAAATGACTCGGGAAGACATCCCCAACAACATATTTAAAAATAAAACAAATCGGAGAGGAAGTCGCTTTTATGCATAATTACCCTCTTTTTTTTTATACTAACGGAAATTGCTGCTATGTTGCCGGTTCGGAGCTTCGACTGCTTGCCTGTACGGAACTTCGACTACGGCACTCATCGAATAATGCATACGTGCGCGAACGGGACAGACATTGGTCCCCGTACGCTTGTTTTAACAAGAGATAGGCCTCGTGTTTGTCTTTTCCTAATTTCGCTAAGAACTTGAGATTGATATATTGCTCAAACTTAGCCATAATTTCCCCGGATTGCTCCCGGACACGCGGTTTCACAAAATCGAGCGGCCGTTTAACTTGCGGCTTAAAACGAACACGCGTTACAACGACTGCTATGTAATCACTTCACGTTACGTATCGCGAATCTGTGTGTGTGTGTGTGTAACAATCACTCCCGAACGTTCTACCGGCTACTGAACTCTTCAGGACGCTTCTAGGACGTTCCACTGTTTAAATGCGTCGTATTGTCTAAGCGGCACGTTCGAACATGCTGGGGCAGGTAGTTTGTACATCTAAGAAAGAGAGAGAGAGAGAGAGAGAGAGAAGGGGGGAGTTTTCCAAAATATCGCCGTCATGGTATCGCACGATATTAGACCACAGAGTGTTATATAGAAGTCTGTGTATTAGACTGGCCAATCGCGGCAAGGGACATTTGGCATGCAACCCTTCGGAAAAGGTTCTGTCGCAGGATCAGCGAAGTGCAACCGGAGGCCCGATTCTTGTATTCATTTGCGTCATAAACATGTGCGTAAATTCTGCTCTTACGGAAAAATTGTAAGTCGATTGGCTAAAAGCAGGGTTGGAAAAGTTACTTTGTAAAAGTATCTAGTTACAGTTATTTTTTTTCGCGAAAAAGGTTATTACAGTTATAAGTTAACAATTCTGAAAAGTAATGCGTTACAGCTACTCAAAAAGTAACGAATCGCTACTTTGCAGTTACTTTGTTGAAAATAAAAATATCAAATCTACATTTGAATTGTAAAGCGTCGATAAGGGCGTTCATGTGTAAACGCAAGATCTAATGCGATCTGTGGAGGTTTAAAAAAATATATATAAAGTAACTGTTAATGTAACTATACATATATTAAATTAGTTACTAGTTATCGAAAAAGTGTATGTTGCGTAGCGTCTCTCACGAGTCGGACACGATATGCGCGTTCCAGCGCATACATGCGATAGATCAATGATAAAACTCGGACTTTACGCTGTCATGCACGTGGGGGAAGGATACGGAAGGATGGTGTTGCGTCGTAGAAGGGTCGTGCGCGATGTTTCTACGACGCAATGTATGTACATAATATGTACACAACAAAGGACGATAACATAAGCGGCACAGAATGCACGCATCGACGCAGGCGACCGTCTGTCGAGGCATCCGCGCAATCTTGTTTACAAAGAAGGTGGTTCTTGTAATTGCATTTAGGTCAAACCGAGATAACTCGAAAAATATGATATCAAATGAA